GTCGTCGTCCTCGTCGTAGTCGTACTAGTAGTAGTAGCCGTCGTAGTACCAGTAGCAAGGATGTGGTTGGAGGTGGTGGACGAGGCGGAGCTGGACATCCTCGCATCGTGAGAAAGAATGGGGGGTTCGAAGGTTGACGCTCCCGGGCGATTTCGTGGGTTCCAGCCGCCCGATCGGTCCTCGACCCCTCGAGGCTGTCGACCCCTCGATCCTCCGATCCTCGACCCCTCGATCCTCGATCCTGGACCCATCGATCCCGTCGATGCCCCCTCGAGGTTCTGGATCCTGTCGATGCTCCCCCTCGATGTCCTGGATCCCGTCGGTACCCCCCGGTGCTCCCCCTCGATATTCAGGACACCCCGTCCCCCTTCGAGCCCCCGGATCCCCCCGGTGCCACCTGGAGGCTCTGGATTCCCCCGATGCACCCCCCCGTCGAGGTGATCGCCCCCCCCGTGCCCTACCCGAGATCTTGGACCTCGATGCCCTTCCCCCGACTAGGTCCTGGATTGCCTCGGTTCCCCCCCCTCCCGTCCGACCCTCTGCTTCTATGATTACAATAGGGTTGTTCTAGGGTTTGCCTCGTGATTCGCACGAGGTGGTTCATCAGTTTGCTCATCATACTTGTCTTCAGCATTCAATTCGCCATTTGATGTATTTACCATTTTGATGTGCATGACTGGTCGTATCTCCTTCTCATCGTCCTCCGAGCCCTTGTACATGCCTTCCATCATTTAATATCTCTCGTTATGCAACCTCGTCGAAGTGGAACCATTTGATTCTGCTTTACTTGTGCAAACGTGTAATGGCTTCGCGACGGTCTTACCGGATCCCCTTCTTTAGCAACGGACTTAAAGAGGGATTTCATATACGGCAGCCAGCACAACATCTTGCGTGCAGATCTTCCACATTTGAAGTCTTGTTTTAGCACACTTTACGTGTGTTTTCCTTTGGTGGCGACCGTACACAAGGATTTCAAATGTGGGGGATCTGCAGCGGCCTCCGCAACATCCTTTGGCCGCAGCCTGTACAAGCGGCTTGTTCAGCTGGGTGTGGAATATGTAGCAGAGACGCCTCTTGCCCAAACCATCTAGAGAGGACAATCTAAAGCACCAGTACACAAGACCACACATGTGGTAGCACACGCAGAAATGGAAAAAGGCAAGGACACCTGTGGATCTGGCTTGTTTTATGGTGCAGGCCCCCCTCACCCGAAATCCATTTCTAGCAGCCCTGGCAGCAGATTCATGGTGTTGCGATCTCACAGAAGTGCATTGTTTGGTGCACCTGCAGTGGCCGCCAACATTGGAACCCTTCTCGCAGCAGCCTTTGCACCAGGTTTATGTTTGTCGCGATCTTTCAAAAATTATGCCTGCCAAATTTGGGGATCTTCAGTGGCCTCCATCATTGAAACCTTTTTCTAGTATCTCGTGCACATGGATCGCTTTGTGGCGGTCTTGCAACAGTAATTCTTTTGTGCAGGCCGCTGCAAACGGATTGCAAGTGTGGAGGCAATTGCAGATCCCCAGAACCAAAGTCCTTTTGCAAGATCGCCACACAAGGGATCTTGTTCTGAAGGTTGTTGCAAAAGGATCTCAGGTGTGGTGGCCACTGCAGATGCCTCGCAGAGAAGAGGTTTTTGGGCGGTCGCCGCAAAAGGGATCCCTTTGTAAGTGCTGTTGCGGAAGGATTTCAAGCGGGGGGGATCTGCATTGGAACAGGAGCGGGATTTCTAGGTTGTTTCATTTAGTGTTGCTATTGTTTTCTGTGATAATAGGTGTTCTTTGATACGTTTTAGGTGGTCGTATAGGTATTATTTGCTATTTAGGTATAGGTTCATAATATGTGTTCGTATAGGTGGTCGTATAGGTATAGGTTCATAATAGGTGTTTTCTGATTTAGTTTTGCTATTGTTTTCTGTGATAATAGGTGTTTTCTGGTACTCGAGCGTCCGCGGCCCCACGGAGATCTCAGCGGCGGCTCCGTGGGGCCGCGGAAGCTTACCAGGAAACAAGGAAACATTAGCTTACCAGGAAACAAGGAACTTACCAGGAAACTTACCAGGAACAAGGAAACTTACCAGGAACAAGGAAACAGGAAACAAGGAAACTTACCAGGAAACAAGGAAACTTACCATCCACCCTGCATTTTTCCACATCGGCAATGAGGTACAAGTTAGGAAGACCGGTGACTGTCGCTATTGGCGCTAGCAGATCCCGCGCAGTTCAAATCATTTTGCAAGATCGCCACCAACGGAATCTTGCTGTAATGGCTGGTATAGAAGGAACTCAAGTGTGGTGGTAGGTCATGTGCAGATGCCCCACACAAATTTTCTTGTAAGGTCGCCACACGAGGAATCCTTCTCTCAGCGCGATTGCAAGATGGTTTCAATCGTGGAGGGTCTGCACCATTAAGTGGCGAGCGGTACAGGCTGTTATAGCTGGTTCAAGCTGCTCTATGTGAGTGCACACGCCTTTTTGTATGCTTTTCCCATTTTCGTGGGCAGCTTCTGCGGTCAACGGCGCTGCTTCTGGAAATCCCGTACAATCAGAACCAGTGTGTGTATTGCATACAAGTTCATGCCATTTGTTGGCATTTACACAGTGACTTTGATCTAGGGCTCTCCACATTGATTTTAGTGGTGCTGTGGAAGTCTTACTTTCGAAATTATGCTTTCATGTGTCCCTGCAGGAACCAATGTGTAACTCCCTTTAGCTTCAACATTTGCTGTACACATCGGAGGTTGGGGCGTGAGATCGCAGTGAAGCGGAGACCCCCCACCGGGAAATCGGTCTCTCGGTGTCGTGTTCGTGTCGTGCGTGCGTGCGAGGCGAAGCTGCGCGTGACCCTCCTGTAGCTAGGCCGAAGTAGGAGCGAACGTTCGTTTCCCGCCCGCCGGGTGGCCGGGAGGTGCCCCAGTTGGGCCGGGCGGTGTCCCGGGTGCCCCGGGTGCCTGTAGGAGCGAGCGTTCGTTTCTCGTCCGCCGGGTGGCCGGGAGGTGCCCCAGTTTGGCCGGGCGGTGTCCCGGGTGTCCCGGGCGTCCCGGGCGACTCGGCGCTAACGCACGTCGCTTATCTCATCATTCTTTTTTGTTCGGCGCTTGCGGCGGGCTGTCTTATCCAATCCAGCTTATCTTATCCAAGCCATCTTGTCCAATCCAATACATCTTCTCTTTTAACCAACCCATCATGTCCCATCTTATCTTATCCCACCCAATCCGATCCACCCAACCCAATCCATCAATTCATTTGTTTCTGCGCCTGCAGCGGGCCAATCCAATCCATCTCATCTTATCCAACCCATTTCTTCCAATCCAACCCATCTTATCTTATCCAAACTATCTCATCTCATCCAATCCAACCCACCCAGCCCAATCCATCAATTCATTTTTGTCGGCGCCTGCGGCGGGCTTTCTTATCCAATCCAGCTTACCTTCTCCAATCCATCTTGTCCCATCCAATACATCTTATCTTATCCAACCCATGCTGTCCCATCTTATCTGGAGGTGTCCCAGTTGGGACGGCTGGTGTCCCGGGTGTTCTGGGTGTCAGTAGGAGCGAACGTCGCGTTTCCCGTCTGCTGTGGCCGGGAGGTGTCCCAGTTGGGCCGGGCGGTGTCCCGGGTTTCCTGGGCGACCCGGCGCTAACGCATGTCGCTTATTTCATAATTCTTTTTTTTCGGCGCCTGCGGCGGGCTGTCTTATCCAATCCAGCTTATCTTATCCAAGCCATCTTGTCCAATCCAATCCATCTTCTCTTATCCAACCCAGCTTGTCCCATATTATCATATCCCACCCAATCCGATCCACCCAACCCAATCTATCAATTCATTTGTTTCTGCATTTGATCTCAATCCCCGCCCGACCTTCTTATCGCCCGCAGGGCGGTCGTATAGGTATGCAATCAACGGCGGGTTCTGATCTCCACCCCACGTCCTGGATCCCCCTGGTGCCCCTCCAGGTCGTGGGTCCCCCCGGTACCTCCCTCGAGGGGTCCTGGATCCCGCCGAGTTTCCCCCTCGAGGCCCTGGATCGCCCCGATGCTCCCCAGCGACTGGGCCGCTGTCGCCGCCCCCCCCCTCCCGGCTTTTGCGCCAGATCGGCTCCGGCTCTTCGGCGGCCTCGTCGGACGACGGCGACGCAGACGCGGATGCCCGCAACGCGACGGCGCAGGACCGCGGGCCTCGTCGCCGCCGTGGTCGTGGTCGTCCTCTGTCTCGGCACGATCGAAATTGGCTCTCACAACGCTTTCCGAATATCGAGGAAACAAAACCGCATAGTTGCACAAAACGAGCATGTCTCAGATCGGCGCTGAGCCCTCCTGGCGCTGCCCGCGGCGCTCTCCGCGCGCCATGGAGTGGGTCCAGTGCTGGTCCCAGAGCCTGCGTGGAGTCCGACAGGTTATGTTTATGCAGTTCTGATTCTTTAAATGGGGGTGGGTTTGTGTCTGTGTGGTTTTCGGTGCTGCAGGTTTTTGTTCATGTTTACGCTTTGTTTGTTATGCAGGTTCTGCGTATGACAGCAGTGCCTGTCCGCTTTTGAACCGGATTCATTGTCGGCGTCGCCGTGGGCGCTGTCGACTTGAGAGAGAATGTCGCCTGCCCAACAGCGATGGCTTTCTTTTTTGTGAAATCATTCGCTGTTCGGCATCGAGCCCTTTTTCGTACCTTTCTCGGTCGTTCCACATCGTGCGCTCGGTCCCAATGTGGAAGGCATCGTGCTCTCCAAGGACCGCTGTCTTCGTCGTCGCCGTGGTCGTGGTCGTCCCTTGACAGCCTCGCGTCGTTAACAGATATCACGACGAGAGTTTTTTGTAGCTGCTTTGTCACCCCCCCATTGGGGCCCCTCAATATCGGCTCGGGATGAAGAGCCGTTCCCCAGGAAGGGGGCTAGGCTTCTGGGGAGCCACGTTGGGACAGAAAACACTGCGGCGGATGTCTGGGCATTGCGGCACCGATGCCTCCTCTCCTCGTACCTTACAGTCGGGGCCCTGAAGAAGGAATCCTTTTCGTTGGGGAGGTGCTCGGTGTTCCTTGTTTGTTCTGCAGTGTACCTTCGGTTCTCCTGAGGTTCCCCATGGGAAATCGAAGTTCAACTTATGGGAGAAAGGGGCCTCGTTCCTTATTTAGGGTTCCTTAGGTCAACGCCCCGACTGTACACCGGGCGCGTTCTGTCCTGGATTCTGTGGCGAGTCCAGCCTCCGGGGCGGCCCAGAGGGGGGTGCTGACGAAGGAGGATGTCAACGCCTTGGCCGGTGCCATCAATGATAGATCTCTGTGGATCTCCTGCCCCCCACGTTTTTTTGGATAGATGCCTCTCATCCCTCTCCTCTCCGCTCATCCCTCTCATCCCTCTCATCCCTCTCCCTCTCCTCCTCCTCCATGCCATGATAGATCTTTGTGGATATCTCTGGATCGCATGCTCCACTGTTTTTGTTCGACGTCCCCATGGGCCCCCCTGGGCCGCGCACGTGCTTCGGGCCACGGCTTGCACACCCCCCTCTCGGGCGCCCCCCGCTTGGACGAGGAGGAGGAGGCGGAGGAGGAGGAGGAGGTGGAGGAGGAGGAGGAGGAGAAGGAGGAGGAGGAGGAGAAAGGGAGGAGAAAAAGGAGGAGGACGAGGACAGAGGAGGAGGAGGAAGAGGAGGAGGAGGAGAAGGAGGAGCGGGAAAGAGGATGATGATGATGACGATGATGATGACCTTGATGATGATAATGATGCTGATGATGCTGCTGCTGATGATGATGATGATGCTGATGATGATGATGGTGGTGATGCTGATGATGCTGCTGCTGAAGATGCTGCTGATGATGATGATGATGGTGATGCTGATGCTGCTGATGATGATGATGCTGATGCTGATGCTGCTGCTGATGATGATGATGAGGATCAGGAAGTGGATGGGGATGAGGATGATGGTGACGATGATGATGCTGATGCTGATGCTGATGCTGATGCTGATGCTGATGCTGCTGATGATGAGGATGAGGATGGGGATGGGGATGAGGATGGGGATTATGATGATGATGATGCTGATGATGATGATGATGATGAGGAGGAGGAGGAGGAGGAGGAGGAGGAGGAGGAGGAGAAGGACGAGGAGGATAGGAGGAGGATGAGGAGGATGAGGAGATGAGGAGGATGAAGAGGAGGAGCAGGAGGATGAGGATGAGGAGGAGGAGCTGGAGGAGAATGAGGAAGAGGGAGGAGGAGGAGGAGGAGGAGGAGGAGGAGGAGGAAGAGGAGGAGGAGGAGGAGGAGGAGGAGGAAAGATGGAGGAGGAGGAGGAAAGATGGAGGATGATGAGGAGGAGGAGGAGGAGGAGAAGGAACGAGGGAGGAGGAGGAGGTGGAGGAGGAGGAGGAGGAGGAGGAGGAGGGCACTGCACGAGGGGCAGCGGCATCTCGGGGCAGCTGACGACGCCGCCTCTCGGCGGCTGCCCCCCCCCTCTGCCGCCTGCTGCCCCCCGCTGCCCCCGCCAGCAGCCGCCGCGGCGATCCCAAGCACGCCTGCCCTGGTGGTATTAAGTCGGGCGTGTCCCTCTACAGGGACGAATTTTGGCTGGGACGAATTTTGGCTTCTTTTTTGAGCATTTTGGGGTATTTTGTCGGAGCATGCGTCATTGTTCTCCCAAAATCCGCCTGTAGGGGGACATACCCGACCTGACCCTGGTATCCTCTCGGCGCCGCCGCCGTTTGAGTTTTGGGGGCTCTTCGGGTACTCCTGGCTTCCCCGAGGCTCGGCCAGCCCCGGGACGCCTCGCGGCGGCTGCGCCTCGCCGAGGGCGTCCCCGCTTGTGCCCAGAGTTGCCCCGCGCGGGCGCCGGAGGCCGGAGCCATGACCTGGACGCCGGGAGCCACTGGTTGCATCGAGTCGTCTGTGGGGAGAACACACACACAGTGGGGAAACAACACACACACACAAAAAACAACAACACACTGTGTGTTTTTTCCCCACTGTGTGTGTGTGTGTGCGTGTGTGTTTTACCCACTGTGCGTGTGTGTGTGTGTGTTTTGTGTGTGTGTGTGTGTGTTTTGTGTGTGTGTGTGTGTTTTGTGTGTGTGTTTTTTGTTTGTGTTGTTGTTCCCCGTACGGTAGGTTCGTGCGGCGTTGACGCGCTGGCGACGCCAGTGAAGGCGTTAAATGTTGAAGGTTGGATTCTGCGACGCGGACGCACCGATGGGCACGGTAATGCCATTGGGCCCGACTGGATTCAACCTTGAACCATCGGGGTGATCGAGCGATCGACGCGGTGTCAAAAACTTTTGCGCGCGCCGACGCCGCACGAACCTACCGTACGTGAGCCTGACGGAAGGTTTTTGGCAGGCTTTGGCTTTGGGGTGCACTCATGGGGCCCCGGGAACGTGAAAAATCGACTCGGGATGAGAAGCCAGTCCCTGGAAGGGGTCCAGACCATGGTGAGCCACTTTGTGGACAAATGACGACGTCGGATGTCTGGATATACATCGCCTGCTCCCGCCGCTACGCAGGATTTGCGTTCCGAGGGCCAACCCGGTTCACACTTTTGCTGCCTCTCGGCCTGCAGGCGAGATCCGTTCGATCGCAGGGCTGGTTCCGATTCCTCCGATTCGATCCGATCCGATTTCCATGGCTGCCCATGCCAATTCGATTCAACTTGGGATTCTGATTTGGGCTTCGATTTATCATTGGAGGCGTACGAGCCAGCAGATTTCCGCCGGCTCGACTCTTCCCGACTCGGCTGCCGATCTCCGCCGATCCGATTCACTTCGATCGCCGATCCGACTTGTCGACTCAGTTTCGGCTCTCCTTGCACCGGCCCCGCTCGGCCATTGACAACCCGTCGATCGCCGACAGGGAGGGGAGGGCAGGGGAGGGCGGGGGAAGGAGGAGGAGGAGGAGGAGGAGGAGGAGGAAAAGGAGGAGGAGGAGGAAAAGGAGGAGGAGGAAGAAAAGGAGGAGGAGGAAGAAAAGGAGGAGGAGGAGGAGGAGGAGGAGGAGGAGGATGGGGCCCGCCGGCCCGCCCTGCTCAGGATAGCGCATTGCCTTCGCTGTCGGGGGGGCGAGCGCCGAGCTGTCGCGGGTCCGCCCCTCCTCCTTCTCCTCCCCCCTCCTCCCCCTCCTCTCCCTCCTCCCCCCCTCGTCCTCCTCCTCCTCCTCCTCCTCACCTGCTCCTCCTCCTCCTCCTCCTCCTCCTCCTCCTCCTCCTCCTCTTCATCCTCCTCCTCCTCCTTCTCTTCCTCACCTGCTCCTCCTCTTCCTCCTCCTCCACTGGAGGAATCCTTACTCAGTCGTCCTCCTCCCCTGCTCCCCTCCCGCCGCGAGGACAAGAACCAGGCCGAGAGCTGGAGCTGCAAGTCGCGCGTCGTGGGAGGCCTCGCGGCCGCCGCGTGCTCGGTTTTCGTTCGCGGCGGTGCGGTCGGGGCATCGCGGGGAGGGACGACGGCTTTGAACGATGGCGATCACAGGAGGAAAAGGTACCCACACCTCTCCTCTGCCCTCCCCTCGTTTTCCTTTTTGTTGGGGCCTCCCGGGCCTCCGTGGTCGCCACCGCTGGATTCGCCCGGAAGTCCTGGTCAGAACGCACTCGAGGAGAGGTCCAGGGGGTAGCGGTACTGGTACCTCTTGAGTTCCCCAGGCGATCATGAGGATTGTGATTCTTGTGCGATGGTGGGCCTGTTTTCCACCACCACCACCAGAAGTTGGAGGGGGAGGTGGCCCTCCTCCTCCACCTCCTCCTCCTCCTCTTCCTCCTCCTCCTACGCATCGTCCTCCTGCTCCTTCTCCTCCTCCTCCTCCTCCTTCTCCTCCTCCTCCTCCTCCTCCTCTTCCTCTTCCTTCCCCCCTCCCACTTATGGTGGTGGTGGTGGTGGTAGAAAACATGCCCATTATGCCAGCCAGCGGGGCAGGGCCGAGGAGGCCACTGTCGGCCTCGACGTCTGGGGCGGTGCGCTGGGCAGCAGCTCGTGCCTCGATGCCAGATGCCCATCGGTCGTTGAAAGTCAGTATTTCTGTAGTCCCAGATTCCAATCTATGTTAAGCGTCTTCCTACTTCACTGATCGAGTGGCTTCTTCTTTCCCTTCCTCTTCAGCGGGCGGGCTGAGACCCAATCTACTTCCAACGCCTTCCTACTTCATGTTTCTACCTACTTCTTCCGACCGATGGGTAATTATTTAATCGCTTCACTCATTCCGACAGCCAGTATTGCCTCGCCGCTGTCGTTTGTCGGGGTGTTGCTGTCATTGCGGTGCGGTGGGGCGGCTGCCAGTCTTTCGGAGGCAGGGGGTGGCGGGTCAGAGGCCTCACGGATGTTGGTTGGGCTCTCGTGGTTGGCCTTTCGGGAGCCTTTGGGAGGCAGTTTGAGGCCTCTTGGGGCTTGGAGGCCCCTTGGAGGCCCCTCGGGGCTTCTTGGGTGCCTCTTGGGGCCTCTTGGGGGTCTCTTGGGGCTGAAGGCTGAAGGCTGGATTTTTCGGTTCCTTGTCCCCTTCGTGGGCCCCTCTTGGGGCCTTTTAGGGGCTCTCTTGGGCTGTCTCGGGCGCCGCTTGGGCTGTCTTGGGGCCATCTTGGGCCGTCTTGGGGCCCTCTTGGAGGCTTCGTTGGCCTTCTTGGGGCGGTCTTGGAAGCCTCTTGGGCCGTCTTGGAACGCCGGTAAGCCGAAAAGGCGAGAACACCAAACACCGTCAGAAACTTGAGGAAATTACGAATTTCTGTCTCTGTGGGCCCTCTTATGAGGTCTCTTGGAGGCCTCTTGGGGCGTCTTGAAGGCGCTTGGGGCTGTCTGGAGGCAATATTTGGCGTCTTGGATCGCTCTTGGACCGTCTCGGACCACGTTGAACTCTGTTGGAGGCCACTTGAAGCGCTCTTGGAGCGTTCTTGGAAGCCTGCTGGGACCTGGCTGGGACCTGCCCTGGACTTGGCCAGGACTTGGCTGGGACCTGGCCAAGACTTGGCCAAGACTTGCAGGGGTACTTCTCGTCCCGGGACCCCCAGGGGCGGCCCCGCGCGCGCGAACTAGGAATATTGTTAACCAGTTTCCGGAGATCTTAGCACGCTCTTAGCCCGTCCGGCCGGTGAATTACAGCGAGCACCCCATGCGTCTGGATCAAGCCCTCCAGGCCTTGAACTGGCCTTGCGACGTCAGGAGGATGAAGAGTATGAGGTTGAGCAGGATCATGTGAGGACGCGTTACCGACATCGCTGATCTTGCCCCGTTTTCGTTTTTTGCCAACCTCCTGGGAAGCCCTCGTCGCCCGGGCTGGATTCGCCTTGCAAATTCTGGTCAGAGCGCACCCTGGGAGGGGTCCGCGGAGTAGCGGTGTCGGCACCTGGTTCGGGCTGGGCGAAAGGGGGGGATTGGGAAAGGGGGGTTGCGAAATTTGCTGCATGCAGCTGGTTTCGGCCCCGCCGCCGGGCCCATTCCTCGATGCATGGCCGCCTCCGGCGCTGGGAGGCGCCTGGAAAATCAGCTACGTGAGCTGATTCTGAAATCCCCCCTTTGCTATCCCCCCCTTTCGCCCCACCCGACTGGTGGTTTCCCCAACGACGTGGACATAGGGACCGTTTTGGGCTCACGAGGGGCTCTGGCGTTGGAGCTATTCCTCCAGGTCGGGAACGCCTTCGTGGCCGAGGCTCGCCCTGAGCAGAAGCGCAGATTCGTTTCGTTCCATGTGGCGTCGGGCCGCGGTGGGCTGTGCTATGTGGTTTGGGCGCGAGTATGCGCTTGGCACGATGAAGTCATGATGAATGTATGATGAGTGTATGATGATGATGCTGATGCTGATGATGATGATGATGATGATGCTGATGATGATGCTGCTGATGATGCTAATGCTGATGCTGATGCTGATGATGCTGATGCTGATGCTGATGATGATGATGATGATGCTCATAATGATGATTATGATGATGTTGATGTTGATGATGCTGCTGCTGCTGATGATGATGATGATGATGAATGTATGATCATGCTGCTGCTGATGATTATGCTGTTGGTGATGATGCTGATGCTGCTGATGATGATGACGATGATGATGCTGATGAAGATAATGCTGCTGATTATGATGCTGATCATGATGATGCTGACGATGATGATGATGATGATGATACTGTAATGATGACGCTGATGCTGCTGCTGACGATGGTGGTGATGATGCTGCTGTTGATGCTGATGCTCATGCTCATGCTCATGCTGATGATGCTGGTGATGCTGATGATGACGACGATGGCGATGACGTTTGCGATTATTAGGATGATGATGCTGATGATGATGCTGCTGATGATGCTGATGATGACGATGATGATAATGATGCTGCTGCTGATGATGATGCCGTTGATGCTGATGCTGATGATGATGCTGGTGATGCTGCTGCTGCTGATGATGCTGTTGATGATGCAGATGATGATGCCTACGATGATGAGGACGATGATGATAATGTGGTTGAGCATCATGTGGCATGAGGGTACGGATCGTGATGTGGATGATGAGGGGTTCCTTCTCCTTTGATGAACTAGCCTGAGAGTCATGTGCACCTGGATTCAAAGTATGAGGTGCGGAGCTCGAGGGAGCGTCTGCTGACCCGACCGTGTGCACCAGCCTTCGGCCGCACCAGCATATCTCGCTTCAAAACTTATAGCCGGCCTGTCGATATTCTCTCTGCCTTTTCTGATGCATTCAGCGGCAGCCGCACACTCCCCCCACAGAGCTGATCCCCGTCAGAGCGTGCCTTCAGGGTGCCCAGTGTCTCCTGAACGCAAGAACTGGTTTCTGGACTCTCCGCAGGCCAGCAGTCGCGCCCTCCGCGGCTGAGCTGGACTGGGTGAGGCCGCTGCCGGGTCGCGCGGAGAGGCCAGCCAGTGGGGAGCTGACAGCAGAGCGGCAGGCACTGCGGCGCAGGTGCTCGTAGGCGTCACACAAGCTCGGTGGGCTGACCGCGCCACGGCCTGGTCCAACTTCTGGCCGCGCTTGCGCCCGATCCGCAAGAGGAGGAGGAGGAGGACGAGGAGGAGGAGGAAGAGGAGGACGAGGACGAGGACGAGGACGAGGAGGAGGAGGAGGAGGAGGAGGACAAGGACGAGGAGGAGGACGAGTAAGAGGTACACAGGCGGGTCCAGAGGAGTTCGGGGGGGAGTGGGAGGCGGACGAAGAGAAGGAGCAGGAGCAGGAGGATGAGGAGGGGGAGGAGGAGGAGGAAGCGGAGCAGGAGGAGGAGGAGGAGGAGGGGGAGGAGGAAGGCGAGGGTGAGGAGGATAATGTTGCTCATGCTGCTGATGCTCATGATGCTGATGATGCTGATGGTGCTGATGATGATGCTGATACCGATGATGCTGATTATGCACATGGTGCTTCTGATGTTGATGCTGCTGATGCTCATGCTGATGATGATGCTGCTGCTGCTGATGATGCTGATGATGATGCTGATGATGATGATGATGATGCTGATGATGATCATGCTGCTGCTGATGATGATGATGATGCTGATGGTGATCATGACGACGATTATGATGACGACCAGGAGGAGGAGGAGGAGGCGGAGGAGGATGAGTTGGAGGAGGAGGAGGAGGAGAAGGAGGAGGGGGAGGAGTAGGAGGAGGCAGAGGAGCAGGAGGAGGAGGAAGAGGAGGAGGAGGAGGAGGAGGAGGAGGAGGAGAACTCAGGGGCTCCTGCGTGCGTCCTGGGGCAAGGATAGGCCATCTTGGCGGCCTTGGTGGCCTTGACGGGCCGTCGTGGGAGCCTTGGAGCGCCTTGGAGACAGGGCCCGTGAGGAGAAGCCGTGACCTTCGCCTCCAGGTATGGAGCCAGCTGGGGGTCTGAGGTGGCCTAGCACGGGTTCTTCCCTAGAGCTTGGCGACTGTTTGCCAATCGGCTTGCGGGGATCGAGCAAGATAAATGCACACACAGACACACATGTACATCATATATATATACATATATATATATGTATATACAGGGTGCACCTCGATATTTTTATATATGTACAGTATATATATATACACATGTGTCGATCCAGCGATCTCCAGGGACAGATGGATGAACTAGCGGCCGCTCCAGCCCGAGTCGAGGGACGATAGCAGTCGTTAAGCCTTCTTCAACGGAGTCTGGTGAGAAGGGAGGGATGTGGCCAGGTTCGACATTCTAGGTTCCCAAAGTTTTTTGGGTAATTGTTCGGCCTCTGGTGACCGTTTTTGGGCCCAGGGCCGAGGGGCTATCAACAACGGGTCCAGGGTGAAACATTGAACCAGATGGAACCAGGAGGGGTCTGGGGACCGATTTTACGCAGATTTGGCCTCACCGTCCCCCTCCCCCAGCCAGTTCAGACCCCCTGGTCGCTTCCAAGCAGGGCTGACCTTTAGCGTCGGCGGCGAGCCTGGTGGGGAGGTGAGAAGGGGCGGGCCACGTCAGAAGGCTCGGAAGTCACCTGGCCTTCTGAGAGGTTTTCTATAAGCCTTCCACGAAGACAGAGAAGAGTCTCGGAAGGAACGATGGGCTCCTGAGAAGCCGCGCCGCCTTCCGAGAGGGCTTTCTCCTCCTCATTTCTCCCCCCAGGCGTGCCGCCGAATAGCCGTCAAAATGGGTCCCTGGACCGTTCCCCCCCGGGTCCGTCCGACGCGGCTTTGCACCCCAGATCGAGTTTCGGGGGTCCCGCGGGGCCCGAAGGTTGCCCTCGGGGGCCGAAGCCTAGGAGCAGCCGCCTTGAGCCTCGAGCCTTGCAATTCGAGCCTCGAGGAGTGCGAACCTCGAAGGTCCCCCCCCCTCGCTCGCCGCCGATGCCTGCAGGCAGCGCCGTCCCATCCGTGCGGCCAGCTCTCTCCTCTCTCGCGACGGCGCGGCCCGCAGTCACGATGCCCCCGCAGATCGGCGACGCGTTATTCATCCTGGGCCAGCCAGTGTTCCCCCCCCCCCCCCCCTTCTCTTCGGCAGAACATTCTAGGCCTCCTCCTCCTCCTCGTCCTCGTCGTCGTCGTCGTCGTTCGGTTTGGAATGAGCAAGCTGGCGCGCACATGTTCCCTTGCTGCGGGCAGTACCACTATATCTATGAACTCCTTAATTCGCTCTGGCTGTGTACTTGACGCATCGTGCCTCTACTAAAAGATGAAAGAAGAAATGGAAGTAAGAGGGCACGATCGACAACAGCGATGTTCCGCAGGACGGCTGACCTTACCTCCGCCTCCGCCTCCTCCTCCTCCCCCTCTGACGCGCCTTGGGGAGGTGCTCAGGTATTATGCCAGTCCGTTTCTCATTGCAGGAGATTGGAACACCACGGCTAGTGATCTCGAGGTAACAGGTCTCCTCGACATCTTCCCTGCCCAGTGTGTGGTGCCTAGCGGAGAGGGCACCTGTCGCTCGCCGCAGGGGAATTATCGTGCTATCGATTTCTGGCTTGCCAGTCCTTCTCTCGCGAAGGCGTGTCTGGACCCACGCTGTGCCTCAGACTGGGCGGCCAGACCCCACTTCCCCATCCTGCTCGATCTCTCGGCCCATCCTCGGGAGATGCAGCAGCTTTGCTTTCAGGGTCCCAAGGCCTTCCCCAGGCTCCCTCCCGAGTTTGCGGGATGTCACCCTTGGGAGGGCCCCCCCAGAGCCCCAGCCTTATTTGGATGTCCTCGCTGAGGATTCTGCTCTTGGGGTGCCCTCCGATTCGAGTCAGCTTGCTCCTAGGTTGGATGCGTTGTGCGGTTCCTTTTGTTCCATGGTGGAAGCTGATTTGTGTCATATTGATCAAGTGAATGATAAGGAGCGATACCTGGGGAGGTCTGAGGGCCCTAGGTATGTTTGGCGACCCGTAGGAGGACTGCCCACCCACGGGAAGCCCGCTAGTGTGCCTGAGGCTAGGTTGTTTAGGGACATCGGTCAAGCCATAGCTGATTATGTCGTGGCCTTGGATAGGCCCCAGGGGATCGGACTTCGGGCTCAGAGGCCCCATCGGGTTTTGAAAGCGGGGCGCATTCGTGATGTGTGCTCCGAGCGTGGCCTCGAGCTGTTTCTGGGCTTACCGTTCCTACTCGATGCGGCTGCTGCTTGCCCTTTGTCCGTAGCTATCGGCTCAAACGATTGCCTCACACACTCTTCCTCGCTCTTCTTGGCGGTGTCAGACGCCGTGCATGCTCATGCCGAGTCGCTGGAGAGGGCAGCTGCGGATGCCAGGCGCAAGGCTTTCTTCAAGTGGGCCAGGGACGCGCTGATCACCTCGCCCACGCAGGTCTTCAACCACACGAAGGTGCGTGGCTGGACTCACTCAGAGTTGGACGCCAGCACGTCGGTCCAACCCTCGCCTCGCTCGCGGTCACAGGCTCAGGAGGTCGCTGACGGGCAGATGGACATGTGGTGCGGCGTCTGGCAGGGCACGGCCCTGGGCTCGTCGGCGCCTGGTGCTGAAGGGGCGGACCCCGAGTTCGAGGTTGGACACCTTTTGCCAGCTGATCCTTATGGGTGTGAATTGGCTGCACTGCTTCGAGATCTGCCCTCTGGCCACCTACCTGTGCCGAAGGTGGCGGACGTCAGGCGGGCTGCGCGGAGCTTTCCTCGGCGCACGGGTACTGGCCCCGATGAGCTGTCTCCTCGGGCGATCTCGCTATTGGGTGGCGAGGCCTTGGCGTCTCCTGTTTACCCGATGTGGGCCATCGAGGCGTGGCATCGGTGGCCGCCACGCAGATGATGATGGCGCACATTGTGCCCCTCAGCAAGGAGGGCGGGGGCTTTCGCCCGATCGCGCGCCCGCCCTCGGTCTACCGTGTGTGGACCAAGCTGAGGCTAGTGTACGTGCGGCGCTGGGCACGAGATCGCGCGCGCCCCTACTTCGCCATGGGAGTGAAGAGGTGCACAGTCGATGTGGCGGCGAGGCTGCTGGTGCGGCTAGAGGCAGCCGCTCGTCACCCTGATCTAGCTGTGGTCACGGCACTGGTGGATATCAACAAGTGTTTTGATCGAGCACCGTGGCGTAAGCTCGTTGTGGCTGCTCAGCGCTACGGTTTCCCGACGACGATCCTTCGCATGGCTCTGCTCATGTACCACGCACCTCGTCGGCTGTCGTGGGCAGGGACCTTTTCATATGCCGCGACGGTGCTTCAAGGCGTGCTGCCTGGTTGCACCGACGCGATGTTTTTCTTGCAGCTGTTGTTCCTGGAGCCTCTGGACGCGTTCATGGAGGAGACGGCTCGGCTGCCTCGTAGTCTAGACGTCTACGCGGATGACCTCACGCTGCAGATTGTCATGAGGCGCGTGGACATCATTCGGGTCTCGGCGGAGACGCTGGCGCTGCTGGCGGACGCGCTGCGGGACCTGGAGCTGCCGATCGCGGTGAGCAAGGCCAAGGTGATGGCCACGGACATGCCGCTAGCCACCGCGGTCGCCCGTCGCGTTCAGAAGCATGGCTTCAAACCCGTAGCCGTTCTCAAGGTGTTGGGCATGGAGGTCGTTGGTGGCAGGAGGCTGCGCTACGGTGTAGTCGGGAAGCGAGTGCGTCAGGTGGCGGCGCGCATGCCGCGTTTTCGGCGCCTGCGCGGGCTCAGGACGAAGGGGTACAGGCAGATCACCTCTCCGTCCCTAGGGCCTGGCATGACGTACGGGCTGCAGGTCGCCAGCGCGCCGCCGCACTTAGTGAAGCGCATGGCGGCCCGTGTGCGGGAAGGATGGGCCAAGACGCCTGCTGCGTCTTCGACGTGGGTGGCTTCGCGGCTAGAGCCCTCCTGGAGGCATCATCCTGATTGCATGGCTGTGACGGGCCCTGTCCGCACATGGGCGCGCGTGGTGGCGGCTCGCTCGGTCCCCCTACAGGTGCTTCAGGACGCCTGGCAGCTCCAGACGCCGCGAGTGTTGCTGGCCAAGGAGCCGTGGAAGACGGTTGCGGGCCCTGCTGGAGCGCTGGCACTGCAGCTGCGCAGACTTGGATGGACAGCATCGTCGGCACACCTTTGGCGCACGAGGCGTGGCATCGCGCTCGACCTGACCGAGGTCTCGCCGACCTGGGTGCACACCTTGGCGCTGCGGGACTATGAGCTCGATGGCTGGCGTCAATGGGCTCAGCGGGAGGAGCAGGCGCCTGAGGATCCTGCTCGCCGCGTCCCCAGAGCCCCCGACGGCTACTGGGTCGAGCCGATCCGTGCCCTTTCTGCAGATGCCAAGGAGCGTGCTAAGTGGGAACTGTCGCCGTTGGCCATGGCAGCCCTACGCTCCACCATGATTGGTGGCCAGTGGTCGCAGCAACGCCTGTGGCAGCATGGCTACTCTTTGTTTCAGGAATGTCAGGCCTGTGGCGCGGTGCCAGGTTGTCTGCACCACCGATTTTATCGTTGCCCTCAGGGCGAAGAGGCACGCGTCGAGGCCTTAGAGGCCCCTCACTTGGAGCGGGCCCGTCACGCCCCGACGCAATGCCCCTTCTTCCAACGATGCCTCTTTCCTAGGGCTTGGCTTCCTGAGCTGCGACCCCCTTGTATGTCTGAAAGCTGGGGGTATGAGCTTAGGGCCTTAGGCCCACTAGATGTCACTGGCACTGTTTGTACGGATGGATCAGGCCGCGTCCTCCCTTTTTGGCCCGAGTCGGCCCGTGCGGGCTGGGGTTTTGCTGTCATGGATGGGGCCTCGCTAAGAGGCCAGGCGTTTGGCCCTCTGCCTGGGCACGAGCAAAGCGTCCCTCGGGCCGAGTTGTTTGCGATTTTGAAAGTGCTTCAGGTTGGCAGGGCCCCTCTTGACATTAAGTCCGATCATTTGCCTGCCATTGAGGGCAGCAACCTCCGTGGCCGAGAGTGGTGCTTGGATGTTTCGCGGCAGAACCTTGATATTTGGCGCCAGATCTGGCGCGCGATAGATGATCACGGTGGCCTGCAGGAGGGTGTGCTGTCTTTCTCGTGGGTAAAATCTCATCAGACGGACTGGTCAGTTGAGAGGGTTGGCAATGATTTTGCTGACCAGGCTGCTCGCAAAGGAATGGAAACTCATGCGCTGTCTGAAAATATTGAGAATGGGCATGCTGCTTCCCTCCTCCTCCTCCGACAGATCTCGCGCTGGGTTGCTCAGTCCCAGGAGGCCTTGGCGCTCGGAGCGGTCGCCACTGACCGCGCCGAGACGCCGCTGAGGCGTAGGCATCTGAAGCCTCCTCGCCTCCGTCACCGTCCTCCCCCCCATCCTCCTGCCCTTTGCCATCGGCCCGTGGAGATCAGAGGTCACTGGAGGTGCTCGCTCTGTCTAGCCTCGGCCCGCTCTGAGAGAGGCAGGCGCAGATTGATCCGCACGATGTGCGGCACCGTGCGCGCGCAGGCACGCCCCGTGCTTGCTGGCGCTACCGTGCTGCCGCCGCCGTCGTCGCCGTCGGGGAGTCGGGGCGGGGGCGGGGGGGGCAAGAGATCCCGTGAGAGCGAGCCTGAGTCCGATCTCCCCTTGCGATGCGCGCGCGTCAGGCTGTGTGACTCGGGCGGCAGGCGTCCGCCAATTCGCCCGAGGGGGGAGGAGGATGGGGAGGGGGGCGAAACGGCCCTGGACGGGACCGTGCCCCCCTCTCGCTCGGTCCGCCCGCGTGTTCGTTTCGACCTCGACTCGCCTCCGTCGGTCGACGAGACGGTGGAGCGTTTCACCCACGACGGTGCGCTGTCTCAGGAGGTTGAGCCTCCCGCGAAGAGGCCGTGCACCCTCGGTCCCAAGGCCCCCCCGTCGCCCGCGGGTCCTGGGAGTGGTGGGTCTCTGGAGCTCTCGGACCGTGTCCCCATGTCTCGTATGAGGGGCCACGAAATCTTTATGTCGGGTAATTTGGCTGCATGCCGTAGGTGCGGCTCGTCTTGCGAGGGGGGGAGTCAGTCTCAGCTGTTCGGGGTTTGTCGCCCCGAGCTTTTGGAGCGGACCCCCTCCCGTAGATATAAGCGAGACCGCATCTTTGACAAGCTCCTGCATCCGCGGGTGCCGCGTCTCCGTATAGCCACCCCCTGCTCCTCTCAAATTCTCAGATGATGCTTGTGCGCGGCTCGGGCTTATCTAGGCCCTTCTGGCAGCAATTACTTGTGATTTCTGCGCCGTCGGCCAGGTGCTGGCCGTGATGGGGTCTCTTGTATCCCTGGATCGTAAGCCCTCGTCGTCGGTTTTTGCTGATTGAGAGTTGTGCTTCTCTCCTTTTCCATCGCTCTGCTCCGTCCGTCACCCGAACTCGGCGCGCTCTTCTATCTGGGTCCGTCCTCCTCCTCCCCCTCCCCCTCCCCCTCCCCCCTTTTTGTTGTTCTTCTTCTTCTTCTTCTTTCGAGGAGTCCCTTGCTCTGGGTCTCCCAGGTGGAGTCCGAGCAGATGGGGTCGGAGGGGTCAGTGTTACCCCCTGTCTTCGGAGGGGGGTGATGCGACACCAGCACCACCAGGGGCGCTGGGGGCGGGGGATGTCTGGAGCGAGAGGAGAGGGGTGGGCCGCACCACCAGGGAGGCCCCCCCCTGCTCCTCGCACCTCCTCGCCCTGGTGGTGTTGGTGTCGCCTTTCCTTGTTTCCCCCCCGTCTCTCTTCGGCGGGACACTCTAGGCCTCCCAGAAGGGGTCCGGGTAGGTGGGATCGGACGGTCGCGCCGCTTCGCCGATGCATCGAAGATGCGGCTCGATGTGGAGCCAGCGTTTCCCCACGCCGACGCCACCAATGCATCGCCGACGTCGCCGATGCATCGCTGATGCACCGGCTTTGTACCGCCGATGTATCGGCGATGCGGCGCGATCAACGCGTGGACGCGGGGCGCTGTCGTGCGCATGCCCCCCCCAGCGGGGCGTGGCCGTGCGGCCGCGAAACCATCCGCAGCATCGTGCACCGGAGCCCAGACCGAGAGGGCGCGTCGGGAGCCTCGAGACGGGGGTCAGTGCAGACGGGGGTCAGCCAGGGCGCCGGATCCTGCAGGATCCTGCGAAGACCCCCTCTGGCTGACCTGGGTTAGCCAGCCGCTCGTGGCCGCGAGGCGGCCGCGCCTATTGGCTTGACCCGGGTTTGCGAAGATCTGCGTTGCAGTTTGTTTTTCCTGCATTGCAGTTTTTGGTTTCCCGCTGACCCGGGTCTGGATTGACCCGGGTCAGAAGAT